TCAAAACCGAATCCAATCCCAAGGTGCGGCACCTCCATCAAAACCGAATCCAATCCCAAGGTGCGGCACCTCCATCAAAACCGAATCCAATCCCAAGGTGCGGCACCTCCATCAAAACCGAATCCAATCCCAAGGTGCGGCACCTCCATCAAAACCGAATCCAATCCCAAGGTGCGGCACCTCCATCAAAACCGAATCCAATCCCAAGGTGCGGCACCTCCATCAAAACCGAATCCAATCCCAAGGTGCGGCACCTCCATCAAAACCGAATCCAATCCCAAGGTGCGGCACCTCCATCAAAACCGAATCCAATCCCAAGGTGCGGCACCTCCATCAAAACCGAATCCAATCCCAAGGTGCGGCACCTCCATCAAAACCGAATCCAATCCCAAGGTGCGGCACCTCCATCAAAACCGAATCCAATCCCAAGGTGCGGCACCTCCATCAAAACCGAATCCAATCCCAAGGTGCGGCACCTCCATCAAAACCGAATCCAATCCCAAGGTGCGGCACCTCCATCAAAACCGAATCCAATCCCAAGGTGCGGCACCTCCATCAAAACCGAATCCAATCCCAAGGTGCGGCACCTCCATCAAAACCGAATCCAATCCCAAGGTGCGGCACCTCCATCAAAACCGAATCCAATCCCAAGGTGCGGCACCTCCATCAAAACCGAATCCAATCCCAAGGTGCGGCACCTCCATCAAAACCGAATCCAATCCCAAGGTGCGGCACCTCCATCAAAACCGAATCCAATCCCAAGGTGCGGCACCTCCATCAAAACCGAATCCAATCCCAAGGTGCGGCACCTCCATCAAAACCGAATCCAATCCCAAGGTGCGGCACCTCCATCAAAACCGAATCCAATCCCAAGGTGCGGCACCTCCATCAAAACCGAATCCAATCCCAAGGTGCGGCACCTCCATCAAAACCGAATCCAATCCCAAGGTGCGGCACCATCCATCAAAACCGAATCCAATCCCAAGGTGCGGCACCACCATCAAAACCGAATCCAATCCCAAGGTGCGGCACCTCCATCAAAACCGAATCCAATCCCAAGGTGCGGCACCTCCATCAAAACCGAATCCAATCCCAAGGTGCGGCACCTCCATCAAAACCGAATCCAATCCCGAGGTGCGGCACCTCCATCAAAACCGAATCCAATCCCAAGGTGCGGCACCTCCATCAAAACCGAATCCAATCCCAAGGTGCGGCACCTCCATCAAAACCGAATCCAATCCCAAGGTGCGGCACCTCCATCAAAACCGAATCCAATCCCAAGGTGCGGCACCTCCATCAAAACCGAATCCAATCCCAAGGTGCGGCACCTCCATCAAAACCGAATCCAATCCCAAGGTGCGGCACCTCCATCAAAACCGAATCCAATCCCAAGGTGCGGCACCTCCATCAAAACCGAATCCAATCCCAAGGTGCGGCACCTCCATCAAAACCGAATCCAATCCCAAGGTGCGGCACCTCCATCAAAACCGAATCCAATCCCAAGGTGCGGCACCTCCATCAAAACCGAATCCAATCCCAAGGTGCGGCACCTCCATCAAAACCGAATCCAATCCCAAGGTGCGGCACCTCCATCAAAACCGAATCCAATCCCAAGGTGCGGCACCTCCATCAAAACCGAATCCAATCCCAAGGTGCGGCACCTCCATCAAAACCGAATCCAATCCCAAGGTGCGGCACCTCCATCAAAACCGAATCCAATCCCAAGGTGCGGCACCTCCATCAAAACCGAATCCAATCCCAAGGTGCGGCACCACCATCAAAACCGAATCCAATCCCAAGGTGCGGCACCACCATCAAAACCGAATCCAATCCCAAGGTGCGGCACCTCCATCAAAACCGAATCCAATCCCAAGGTGCGGCACCTCCATCAAAACCGAATCCAATCCCGAGGTGCGGCACCTCCATCAAAACCGAATCCAATCCCAAGGTGCGGCACCTCCATCAAAACCGAATCCAATCCCGAGGTGCGGCACCTCCATCAAAACCGAATCCAATCCCAAGGTGCGGCACCTCCATCAAAACCGAATCCAATCCCAAGGTGCGGCACCACCATCAAAACCGAATCCAATCCCAAGGTGCGGCACCTCCATCAAAACCGAATCCAATCCCAAGGTGCGGCACCTCCATCAAAACCGAATCCAATCCCAAGGTGCGGCACCTCCATCAAACCGAATCCAATCCCGAGGTGCGGCACCTCCATCAAAACCGAATCCAATCCCAAGGTGCGGCACCTCCATCAAAACCGAATCCAATCCCAAGGTGCGGCACCACCATCAAAACCGAATCCAATCCCAAGGTGCGGCACCTCCATCAAAACCGAATCCAATCCCAAGGTGCGGCACCTCCATCAAAACCGAATCCAATCCCAAGGTGCGGCACCTCCATCAAAACCGAATCCAATCCCGAGGTGCGGCACCTCCATCAAAACCGAATCCAATCCCAAGGTGCGGCACCTCCATCAAAACCGAATCCAATCCCAAGGTGCGGCACCTCCATCAAAACCGAATCCAATCCCAAGGTGCGGCACCTCCATCAAAACCGAATCCAATCCCAAGGTGCGGCACCTCCATCAAAACCGAATCCAATCCCAAGGTGCGGCACCACCATCAAAACCGAATCCAATCCCGAGGTGCGGCACCTCCATCAGAACCGAATCCAATCCCAAGGTGCGGCACCTCCATCAAAACCGAATCCAATCCCAAGGTGCGGCACCTCCATCAAAACCGAATCCAATCCCAAGGTGCGGCACCTCCATCAAAACCGAATCCAATCCCGAGGTGCGGCACCTCCATCAAAACCGAATCCAATCCCAAGGTGCGGCACCACCATCAAAACCGAATCCAATCCCAAGGTGCGGCACCACCATCAAAACCGAATCCAATCCCAAGGTGCGGCACCTCCATCAAAACCGAATCCAATCCCAAGGTGCGGCACCTCCATCAAAACCGAATCCAATCCCAAGGTGCGGCACCTCCATCAAAACTGAATCCAATCCCGAGGTGCGGCACCTCCATCAAAACCGAATCCAATCCCAAGGTGCGGCACCTCCATCAAAACCGAATCCAATCCCAAGGTGCGGCACCTCCATCAAAACCGAATCCAATCCCAAGGTGCGGCACCACCATCAAAACCGAATCCAATCCCAAGGTGCGGCACCACCATCAAAACCGAATCCAATCCCAAGGTGCGGCACCTCCATCAAAACCGAATCCAATCCCGAGGTGCGGCACCTCCATCAAAACCGAATCCAATCCCAAGGTGCGGCACCTCCATCAAAACCGAATCCAATCCCAAGGTGCGGCACCTCCATCAAAACCGAATCCAATCCCAAGGTGCGGCACCTCCATCAAAACCGAATCCAATCCCAAGGTGCGGCACCTCCATCAAAACCGAATCCAATCCCAAGGTGCGGCACCTCCATCAAAACCGAATCCAATCCCAAGGTGCGGCACCTCCATCAAAACCGAATCCAATCCCAAGGTGCGGCACCTCCATCAAAACCGAATCCAATCCCGAGGTGCGGCACCTCCATCAAAACCGAATCCAATCCCAAGGTGCGGCACCACCATCAAAACCGAATCCAATCCCAAGGTGCGGCACCACCATCAAAACCGAATCCAATCCCAAGGTGCGGCACCTCCATCAAAACCGAATCCAATCCCAAGGTGCGGCACCTCCATCAAAACCGAATCCAATCCCAAGGTGCGGCACCTCCATCAAAACTGAATCCAATCCCGAGGTGCGGCACCTCCATCAAAACCGAATCCAATCCCAAGGTGCGGCACCTCCATCAAAACCGAGTCCAATCCCAAGGTGCGGCACCTCCATCAAAACCGAATCCAATCCCAAGGTGCGGCACCACCATCAAAACCGAATCCAATCCCAAGGTGCGGCACCTCCATCAAAACCGAATCCAATCCCGAGGTGCGGCACCTCCATCAAAACCGAATCCAATCCCAAGGTGCGGCACCACCATCAAAACCGAATCCAATCCCAAGGTGCGGCACCTCCATCAAAACCGAATCCAATCCCGAGGTGCGGCACCTCCATCAAAACCGAATCCAATCCCAAGGTGCGGCACCTCCATCAAAACCGAATCCAATCCCGAGGTGCGGCACCTCCATCAAAACCGAATCCAATCCCAAGGTGCGGCACCTCCATCAAAACCGAATCCAATCCCAAGGTGCGGCACCACCATCAAAACCGAATCCAATCCCAAGGTGCGGCACCTCCATCAAAACCGAATCCAATCCCAAGGTGCGGCACCTCCATCAAAACCGAATCCAATCCCAAGGTGCGGCACCTCCATCAAAACCGAATCCAATCCCGAGGTGCGGCACCTCCATCAAAACCGAATCCAATCCCAAGGTGCGGCACCTCCATCAAAACCGAATCCAATCCCAAGGTGCGGCACCACCATCAAAACCGAATCCAATCCCAAGGTGCGGCACCTCCATCAAAACCGAATCCAATCCCAAGGTGCGGCACCTCCATCAAAACCGAATCCAATCCCAAGGTGCGGCACCTCCATCAAAACCGAATCCAATCCCGAGGTGCGGCACCTCCATCAAAACCGAATCCAATCCCAAGGTGCGGCACCTCCATCAAAACCGAATCCAATCCCAAGGTGCGGCACCTCCATCAAAACCGAATCCAATCCCAAGGTGCGGCACCTCCATCAAAACCGAATCCAATCCCAAGGTGCGGCACCTCCATCAAAACCGAATCCAATCCCAAGGTGCGGCACCTGTAGCCGAGCCTACAGTCAAGTTACGGTGGTTTTCGATCCTAGAGTGGGTCAAGGTGCAACGCAACATGACTCTAGAGGCACGATATGATCATCTCAAGTCTGGGTTTGATTGAGTGCAGTTCTAGGATTGGGTGTGTGTGTGTGCGTTTCAAGGGTTGGTGGGTCGACTTCCTTGTCCCTATCATCGGATCGCTCGTCCCTTATTATTTCCTTTCTGCTGTGCTTCTTCATGCAAATCTCCCCCACCCTTGCTATCTGCTGTGCGCTTCCTTCCGGTGTGGCCCGTTGTTGTGCGGTGCTGTGCGGTACTGCACAGGCGCATGTGTGTAAGCACCTGCAGATGGAGGCCAAGGGGTGTGATGCCCTCGTGCTCTGGCTCGACTGTGACAGGGAGGGCGAGAAGATCTGCTTCGAAGGTGGGTAAAGTTCTGGCAGTTGTGTCTTGTTCAAACTGTTGAGCCATCTTGTTCTTATCCCTCGTGCTCTGGCTGGATTGCGACAGGGGAGGAGAAAATATTTTCTTCGAAGGCGGGTAGAGTTTTAGCGGGTGTAGTGTCGAGCATGCTCTCATTCCGCATGCTCCCATTCCGCATGCTCTCATTCCGCATGCTCTCATTCCGCATGCTCTCATTCCGCATGCTCTCATTCCGCATGCTCTCATTCCGCATGCTCTCATTCCGCATGCTCTCATTCCGCATGCTCTCATTCCGCATGCTCTCATTCCGCATGCTCTCATTCCGCATGCTCTCATTCCGCATGCTCTCATTCCGCATGCTCTCATTCCGCATGCTCTCATTCCGCATGCTCTCATTCCGCATGCTCTCATTCCGCATGCTCTCATTCCGCATGCTCTCATTCCGCATGCTCTCATTCCGCATGCTCTCATTCCGCATGCTCTCATGCGCTCTGTGGCTCGACTGCGACAGGGAAGGCGAGAGCATCTGCGTCGCCCCAATCCGTGCCTCCCCATCCCCATCCTATCCTCTCCCCTACCGCCTTTTGAGGCGCCTCAAAATCAATCCGTGCCTCCCCATCCCTATCCTTTCCTCTCCCCTACCGCCAGTGATGGCCCACACTCAGCCCAGCATGAGGTCGCCACAGAACGTGTACAGGGCGAAATTCTCAGTGATTGGCGAAAAAAGATATTCGGCAGGCGATGGCTCGACTTGGGGCGCCCAACGAGGAAGAGGCCAAAGCAGTGGACGCAAGGCAGGAGATCGACCTTAAACCAATATATGCGTGTTTCCTCTGCAAACCCCCTTCTTTCCTCTTCCCACTTTCCGGCCCAAATATCCTATCCTCCCCCACCACCAGTGATGGCACACACCCAGCCCAGCATGAGGTCGTCACAGAACGTGTTCAGAGCAAAGTTCTCAGCCATTGGAGAGAAGGACATTCGGCATGCGATGGCTCACCTGGGGGCACCCAACGAGGCGGAGGCCAAGGCAGTGGATACGAGGCAGGAGATCGACCTGAAAGTGGGGGTGGCGTTCACTCGGTTCCAAACGCGCTTCTTCCAAGGGAAATATGGCAACCTCGACTCGTCGCTCATCTCGTGAGTGGCTGGCTGGGCACGTTGTGTTGTGTCTCCCAGATAAGGTTCTTTCTTACTTGACTTTTGAGGCGCCTCAAAACTGGGCACGCTGTGTTGTGTCTTCCAGATAAGGTTGTTTCTTATTTGGAATGAAGACTCGGAATCTTCTCCTCTCTCATGCCGTTGTCGTGAGTGGTAGGTAGGTCTGGTTCCTTATAACAAATGCTCGATACTCACTCACTCACCCATGCACTGCACGCACTTACCTCCCAAATGCAGGTACGGCCTGTGCCAGACGCCCATGCCAGACTGTTGCTGATCCTAGAGTCATCATTATAGACTCCAGACGCCCATGCCACACTGCTGGTGATCCTAGAGTCATCATTATAGACTCCAGACGCCCATGCCAGACTGCTGGTGATCCTAGAGTCATCATTATAGACTCCAGACGCCCATGCCACACTGCTGGTGATCCTAGAGTCATCATTATAGACTCCAGACGCCCATGCACTGCACGCACTTACCCCTTACTTTTCCCTGATATCCATGAATCTCATAATTCCACGCACGCACGTTGCATACGCCCCCCATGCAGGTACGGCCCATGCCAGACGCCCACGCTGGGCTTCTGTGTTGCCCGCCACCAGAGCGCATCACATCGCTCTCATGCTTCCCTCCCCTCCATGCCCCACGCACGTTGCATAATCCCCCCCATGTAGGTACGTACGACCTTTGAGGCGCCTCAATAGTCGCTGTCGCTGTATTGTTTCCCTACCCTCCATTCCCCTGCTGTCCTGTCCATCACCCCCCAACCTCACATTCCACCCCTCCCCATCCCCATGCACATCGTACACCCCACGCGTGCAGGTACGGCCCGTGCCAGACGCCCACGCTCGGCTTCTGTGTGGCTCGCCATCAGCGCATCACGTCGTTTGTCTCGGAGCCCTTCTGGGTGGTGCGGCCAATCGTCGTGCGCGACGGCCGCCAGCTGGCACTGCAGTGGGCTCGGGGGCGGCTGTTCGACAAGGAGGTGAGAGGAGGGGGTGGGAGGCAAAGGGGAGGGAGGTGGGCCATCAACTGAAATAGGGGCGGCCGCCAGCTGGCGGGCGCTGCAGTGGGCGCATGGAGGCTGTTCCACAAGGAGGCGAGAGAAGGGAAGGGGTGGGGGGGGTTGTAAGGAGGTAAGAGGAAAGGGAGGAGTGGGGGAAGGAGGGGGAGCTAAGGGTGGGCCGTCAACTGATACAGGGACGGCTGCCAGCTGATGCTGCAGTGGGCTCGTTTTGAGACGTCTCAATGCCAGCTGATGCTGCAGTGGGCTCGTTTTGAGACGTCTCAATGCCAGCTGATGCTGCAGTGGGGTCATGGAGACTGTTCGACAAGGAGGTGAGGTGTGGGAGAGAGGGGAGGGGGGCTGCAAGGACCGTTCGGGAGAGAGGAAGTGAGGTGTGCTTCAATGATTGCCACCAGCTGGCCCTGCAGTGGGCTCGTGGGAGGCTGTTCGACCAGGAGGTGAGGGGAGGCGTGGGGGGGAGTGCGGGTGGGTGTAGTGTAGCAGTGCGGGGGGTATGGTGAGAGAAAGGGAGGGGATTCTGCTTCAGGAACGGCCACCAGCTGGCGCTGCAGTGGGCTTGCTCGGGGGCTGTTCGAGACGGAGGTGAGTGGAGGAGGACGAGAGTTGACTCCTGAGTCGACTCAAAAGTCAACTCTGCAGTGGGCTTGCTCGGGGGCTGTTCGACACGGAGGTGAGTGGATATGGGGAGGAGTGGGAAAAGAGTAGGGGTTGAGGAGTGAGGGAAGAGGGGGAATGGAGGGGGAGCTAAGGGTGGCCTGTTAACTGAAACAGGGACGGCCGCCAGCTGGCGCTGCAGTGGGCTCGCTCGGGGACGGAGAGAGAGAGGAGTGGGGACAGACGGCTTTTCGATAAGGAGATGAAGTGTGGGGGGGAGGGGGGGTGTAAGGATGGGAGAGAGAAGTGAGGTTGCGGAGTTCTTTCGGAGGTTGTCACACCCTCCCTCCCTCCCCCTTTCCCCTCTCGGCTTGCTGCCAGGTTGCAGAGTTCTTTCAGAGGAATGTGGCAGCTGAGCAGGCAGCACTGCCACTGTGACGAGCGTTGTAGGGAAGGAGGAGAGGAAGGGGCGGCCCATACAGCTGAACACTCTCTTGTTTCCCCGCTTTCTCTTGCTGCCAGGTTGCAGAGTTTTTTTCAGATGGATGTTGCAGCGGGGGGGGCAGCAGTTGTGAAGAGTGTTGCAGTGAAGGAGGAGAGGAACTGGCGACCTACAGGGTTGAACACTCACCATTTCCCTTACCCCCTCCTCTCCTCCCCATCCCACTCACTGGCAGGTTGCAGAGTTCTTTCAGAGGGATGTGGCGGCAGGCGGTGCTGCGGTTTTGAAGAGTGTTGCAATGAAGGAGGAGAGGAAGGGGCGACCTACAGGGCTGAACACAGTGGAGATGCTAAAAGCTGCTTCCAGTGGGCTGGGCATGGGGCCCCACCACGCCATGCAGATCGCTGAGAGACTTTACACTCAGGGTTACATCAGGTGAGAAGGGGAGGGAGTGTGAGAAGGAGCGGAATGAGGCAATGCGTCAGCTGGTGGTGCGTGCGAAGCAGCGTAAGGAAGCAGTGCATCAGTTGGTGGTGCATGCAGAGCAGCGAAAAGAGGTAGTGCGTCAGCTGGTTGTGCATGCGGAGCAGCGGAAAGAGGCAGTGCGTCAGCTGGTGGTACTTGCGGAGTAACAGGAGGAGGCAGTGCGCCAGCTGGTGGTGTATGCGGAGCAGCGGAAAAAAGCAGTGCGTCAGCTGGTGGTGGATGCGGAGCAACGGGAGGAGGCAGTGCGTTGCTCCGCATGCACCACCAGCTGACGGAATAGGTGCAGGGAGTGGAGTGAGGGTGGTGCTGTCGCAAAAGAAATAGCGGGAATCATCTGAGTCAAGCGTAAAGGTGTGCAAGGCCTCAGCAGGCGCAGTACCAGGGAGAGCAGACTCACTAGCACCTAGAGCAGCAGCCTCTATACCTGGGTCAGGCGGCACACACAGCTAACAGTCACCCTCAGCACTAACAGACAAGGCATATATAGCAGCAAGGATAGCATCATAGTCAAGAGCAAAGATATCAACTCCCGACCTAAGCAGCTCTGCCCAGCGAGGGCGCTCAGCCTCGTCGCCAATCTCTGCGTGCCAAGCGTTGTCAAGGCGGGAGAAGCAGCGGTGCTGAGTGTGAAGCTTCCCGCATGTCTGACCAGCGCGGTCACCTGTGCAAATGACATACGGGCAACGAACACTACCCCCAGACGCCCCTCGCAGAGCAAACCACTCACAAAGCTGCTGAGGCGTAGGCTCGCTCCGACCCTGCTGCTGCTGCCTCTGGCCACCACCAGAACCTCCCCTCTGAACAGCTCCACCCTGACCGCCACCAGTGCCGCTGCCACCACTCCCACTTCTTCCACCACGGCCACCCCCAACTCCATCACCACCCCCACCTCCTTCACATAGGTGCTTCTCGAGCAGGTCGATAGTGAGGTCGGTGGGGCCAAGAGCGAGAAAGTGGTCCCTGACTGTGCGAAGAGAGTCAGGGAGGCGGGTGACTATGAAGTAGAGAGTGATGTACATCGAGGGGGGGGGGGGAGGGGGGGAGGGGGGGGTTCCTGTCAAGGAACTCTGCTGGGAGGGTAGCGCGGTAGCGAGCGTTGCTAGTGCGGAGGTGGGTAACAAAGTCCTCGACTGTGGCAAAGGCTGACAGCTTGGGAAACAGGTAGGGCACAATAAGGCGGCCGAGAGCAGCAGAGGCAGGGGAAGAGTAACGAGCAACTACAGCGTCGTACATGGCCTTAGCAGTCTTGTGCTGGCCAAAGTGAGCGCGTTCAGCTAACGACAGGTGGTTGCGAACGGCTAAGCGAGTAGCAGCGTCACAAGTAAGCCACTGTGAGCGAGTCGCACTGTCAGTTGTGGCGGGAAGGGAGAGAGAGGCTCCAGACGTGTGGTCAAACAACGAATCGCTCAGTAGGTACAGCTGTAAGTCGTCGAGCCACGTATCGAACTGGATCGGACGGCCCTCATGATCGAACGTGAGTACACTGAGAGAAGCCATAGCGGGCAGAGCAAGGTGGCGTGCGACCAGCAGAGCAGCACACAGGTAGGGCGGCACGTGAGCACGAGGGAAGTGCGTAGGGCAGGGCAGAGCGGCGCACGGCTAGGGCGGCCAGCAGAAAGGGCGGCGAGCGGGCTGCCAGAGGGCGGCGCGCGGGCTGCAAGGGGCGGCGAGCGGACTGCCACAGGGCGGCAAGCGGGCTGCAAGGGGCAACGAGCGGGCTGCCAGAGGGCGGCGGGCAGGCTGCAAGGGGCGGCGAGCATGCCGCAAGGGGCGGCGAGCGGGCTGCAAGGGGCGGCGCACAGGCTGCAAGGGGCGGTGAGCAGGCTGCCAGAGGGCGGCGCGCGGGCTGCAAGGGGCAGCGAGCGGGCCGCAAGGGGCGGCGAGTGGGCTGCAAGGGGCTACGCCCAGGCCGCAAGGGGCGGCGAGCGGGCTGCAAGTGTTATAATGTGAGCGAATGAATGACTGAACTAGAAAGCAGGTGAGTACAAGTAGGAAACCTAAAAGTGTTGTACCCTATAAGAACTACCCCACTACAGCCTAAACAGACTATAGCATATAAGTTTGACACACCCCCATAGGCAAAGTGGGGGAGAACAAGAGGTCACAAGACCAGTCAAGAAAGGCAAAGCAAGCTCAGGGTGGATCACAAAGTCACCACGCAGTCTGAGCACAAGCAAATGGCCACAAGGCCAGTTCACATGCAGAGTTATATAAAGGAAAACAAACAATACACTGAACACAACCTAGCAAGTGTAAACATGCAGGTATATATATAATGAGTACAGTACAAGTAGATCAAGAAGTAAGCAAGTGAGGCACAGTAGGTACAAGACCTAACACAGTACAGAAACGCTGATGATCACAAGGCTGAAGTGCCTTGGTGAAAACATCAGCAGTGTTGGCCTGAGAGGCCACGTAAGCAAGGCGAAGCTGGCCACGCTGCTGTAACTCTCGAGCAAGGAAGTAGCGCAGAGCAATGTGCTTCGTTCTGTGCTCCAGTCTGTGCTCCTGACACAAGGCAAGCATGGCCTTGTTGTCGACGTACAGAACTGGAGGAGAACGAGGCGCCTCTCCCAGGTCGGTCAACGGGTAGGTGAGCCAGCGTAGCTCCTGTGCAGCCATGGCCCCAGCGTAGATCTCAGCCTCACAACTCGAGCTGAGACAGAAGAAGAGCGGGTAGACCACCAAAAGACAGAACCGGAGCCAAGACTGAAGGTGTAACCCTGTGACGACCGCTGCGTAGCCAAGTCGTCAACCTAGGAGGCGTCAGCGTGACCAGTGAGGACAACTAGAGCCCGTCCTCCGAGCACGAACCCCATGCCCGATGTACTGCACAAGTATCGCAACACCCTCTTCGCAGCATCCCAGTGCACCTTTCGGTGCCTACCGGGAGCCACGTAGCGAGCCAAAAGGCTGAGAGGGTATGCGAGGTCAGGTCGTGTGCAAGTCATCAGGTACATTAGGCAGCCCACAAGCTCTGGATACGGGCCACTCGGCTCTACGGACTCGTCCGAAGGTGGAGCTGAGAGCGAGTGACCGTTAGGCTGAGGAGTGGACTGTGGCGAGGAGTACGTGAAGCCGAAGCGCTGAAGGACCTGCTGCACCATGTGTGACTGAGTCAAGGTAATAGTGCGCTGTGCTCTGTCCCGGGTGATCCGCAAGCCAAGATAGCTTGTCAGCTCACCCAGGTCTGTGCACGTGTGTCTCTTCTGCAGCTCCGACTTCACGTGGGCGAGTGTCTCAGTGTCAGCAGTAGCAAAGACGATGTCGTCTACGTACACGAGAGCGTAGAACGGCGGCAGAGTAGTGTCAGTGCGTAGAAACAGAGAAGGGTCAGTAGTGGAAGGAGCAAAACCAAGAGCAGCAAGAGTCGTCCTGAGTGTGTCGTGCCACTCACGGGGTGCCTGGCGGAGACCGTAGACTGGCCGCCGGAGGCTCCACTGGGTACCAGCAGGAAACGACCCAGTGAAGCCAGGTGGGCGGCGCAGCCAGATCTCCTCGTGCAGGCTGCCCTGTAGGAAGGCTGTGCTGAAGTCAAGCGAGTGGAGCTCGTAGTCACGCTGAGCAGCAACGTGCAGCAGTACCCGAAGAGGGGTCATCTTCGGGGTAGGGGAGAAGGTCTGAAAGAAGTCAACTCCCTGTCGCTGACTGAAGCCACGTGCAACGTAACGCGCCTTGAAGGCAGGCGGAGAACCCGGCGGCCGCTTCACCCTGAAGATCCACATGCCACTGATGATGTTCGCCCCAGGTCGGGGAACCTCGTCTACGTAGGTGCCTGTGGACTTCCAGGAAGCCATCTCGGCATCCATGGCTGCCTCCCACTGAGAGGAGTAGGGACCCTCTATCGCCTCTGCATAAGAGCGCGGGGTCGGGATGTCTGGTGCATCCGGGTCTCCCTCAGGGGCAAGCAGCATGGACACGAGATGAGGTACAGAAGCGGCAAACCACTCAAACTCCTCCTGTCTGTCCTCAAGAACGTCCGTGCCAAGAGCACACTCACCCCCGACGGACGGAGGACAGACAGACGCAGCCGCAGACTCAGCAACAAGACTAGTGGCGTAGTGTAGGCGACAGGCTGCAGCAAAGTCAACAAGCTCAGCAACAAGAGCAGACGCAGCAGTGGACTCAAACAAAGGGTCAGTGACAGCAGTGGCCAGAAAGCGCGGGACAGCTGGACGAGCAGCACGAAGGGAGTCAAACGCAGGGTCCGGACCGGCTGGAAGAGAGGACGCATGAGGAGACAGCAGAGGGACACGCTGTGGAGCAGTGGAAGGACGCAGAGTCATAGAGTGAGTTCCAGGGACAGGAGGAGGACGCGAACGTGACACACGACCAGCGCGAACAGTACGGACAGGCGACGCAGAACGAGACTCAGGCGACACAGGACGCGACTCAGGCTCACGACGCTCCGTAAGACCTCTAGTCGGTCCAGAGTAAGGAGAAGGACCAGGCAGTGGAGAGGCCGGCTGTAACTGCGACTGGGACTGGACAGGCGGTGGACTCAGGAAAGGAGGAGTAGGACTAGGAGAAGGCAGGAATCCAAGAACCTGCTGAAGGAGTGGAACGTAGTACGGCCGCGGCCGCGCAGCGCCTCCAGAAACAGCAGAGACAAAACCGGTACCCTCAGCCCCAGGGTCTCCAGTCCCAGCAGCACCTCCAGCAGCTCCAGCAGCTCCAGCACCAGCAGCACCTCCAGCACCAGCAGCACCTCCAGCAGCTCCAGCAGCAACTCCAGCAGCTCCAGCAGCTCCAGCACCAGCAGCACCAGCACCAGCAGCACCTCCAGCACCAGCAGCACCTCCAGTAGCTCCAGCAGCACCTCCAGCAACTCCAGCAGCTCCAGCACTAGCAGCACCTCCAGCACCAGTAGCACCTCCAGCAGCACCAGCAGCTCCAGCACCAGCAGCACCTCCAGCAGCTCCAGTAGCTCTAGCACCAGCAGCACCTTGACACCGCCGAGAGTACCACTCACGAAGCTGCTGCGGAGAGAGGGGCTCCCGCCGTGATGGGACACCTAGAGCACTTCCAGACTCAGCACGCGCAGACTCAGCACCTCCAGACGGAGTTCCCTCAGGCTCCACACGCCCACACTCAGCACCCCCAGGCTCCACACACTCAGGCTCAGGACCCCCAGTCCCCGCACCCCCAGTCCCCGCACCCGCAGGCTCAGCACCCCTAATAGCACTTTACTCGACAGCTACCTCGACCGGCTCGGCAGGGTCTACCTGGGACACACCTGAGGGGGCAGGACCCTTGGGGGGGAGGGGGTCTACCGGGGGA